TGAGTGGGGGTGAGTTGTCACATCCCTGCTTTCGTGTTATGCATTAGGGTTGGTTGAACTTGTGCATCATGTTTAAATTTCTTTTAAACTTGAAATGGGGGCTAATCAACCCCAACACCCCCCTAAAAATGCTAAATTCCAACAATTGGAATTTCAATGAACCCAAAATGCCCTTCATAAAAGCCCACCATTTTTGGTTCTGCTTTAAACCTCTGCCAAAAATGGTTCTACAATTTATGGGGCCATTCTGGATTGTTGAACCAAGTCATAAGTATTTGAATTTGGGCATTTTAAATCTTATAAATATTTTAAAGTGCTCAAATAATCTTGGAAGCATTTTTAGGCAGTTGAGAATATTCTCAAATGTGCCTCTGAATATTTCCATAGTTTTTGGAAATGAAATGGTATTTATTCTATTTCAATACACAGAGTAGAGCAAATAAAAAAGAGAAAACAGAAAGGAACACAGGACTTACCTGGAAGCCCACCTAGCAGGCCCACCTACTGGCCCAGCCCACCTCCTGTGCCAGCGAGGTGCACTCGCCAGCACTCGCCAGCACAGCACAGGCAAGCCGCTGCTCGACGGCGAACACAGCATGCGTGCCACGCAGCTGCCTGCCGCCTCGCCGCTCCCCTCGTCGAGTTGTCGCCCTGGGATGCACCCCCACCTCTCTCCCGAGCTCCCAGACACACTCGCTCTCCTCCCCTGACCCTCTCTCTCGCCCTCCCCGACGACGCCCGAGCCGTCACCGTCGCTGCCGCTCGTCGCAGCCGCGTCCAACGCCGTCCCCGAGCCGCGCCATAGTGTCTAGCAGCGTCGCCGTCGTCGACTACGTCTACTAGCCAAGCCGCACGATGTCGGAGCCCCTGCAACATCGCCGTCGTCATCGTCTTCAACCTCGGGCCGCCCGAGATCGCTGTTGCCGTTCCGACCGCATCGAGCCCTTCTCGAGCTTGTTGACCCTCTCTGCGGCTTCCCAGTGAGCTGTTGGTCCTCCCCCTTCTCTCCGTTTCGTCGCTAGAGCTCTGTAGCCGCCGCGCCTCTTTTGTCCGAACGTGCCGCCGCCTGAGCTCGTCGCCGACGTAGCTCCGACCGCTTAGCGGTCCTACTGGCATGTCCAGTGTGCTCACCGCATCGCGTAGATGCTGTAGGTGCTAGCGCCACGCCGCCCAGGACACTTCAGCCACGCGCACGAGCTAACCCGACCTTCGGCCTCCGCCAAGCTCGTCGTCGGCGATGCTCCGGCCACTTCCCGGCCACGCCATTACCACGGCTGGATGCGGGCGAGCACCAGCTGCCCGTAGCTGCTCTCCGCGTATCAAATGGTGCCGTGTGGGTGATTCCCGCAGCACACCGCCGCGTCTGGCCTCGCCGGCGGCTAAACGCCGACAAGCTTTGACCCGCTGACCGGCGAAGTTGACTCTGCTGACACAGGTTGACCTCCCCCTCTCTCTCACTGACATGCGGGCCCCACCCGACTAATTACTCTGTTAGTGCTAACTAACTAGGTTAGTTTAATTAGCATAGTCACTGACTAGTGGGCCCTGCCGAGTTAATTAGGCTAACTAAACATAGTTAGTGCACAGAGTCACTGACCAGTGGGCCCCACTGGTCAGGTTTGACTGGCCCATGGCGCCTTTGACTTGTTGACGTCACAATGATGCAGTGCTGATGCAATTATTTAATTTCTGGATTTATTTTCATATAGGAAATTCCAGAAAATAGCCTAAACTTCTAAAAATCATAGAAAATCAACCATAGCTCCAAATCAAACAAATTATGTATGAAAAATGATCAGATTCAATCTATCCATCTGTAATGGTTTCATGCATGACAAAACACTTTAACCTTGCTGTTTATGTGAAACAAGCTAATACACTTATTATGCATAAAAGCTTAAGCTTTCATTTGAATCATTGTTTCAAATGGAACCTTTTCAACTTGTTTCACATTGCATTAGGCAGGACACATCTTTTTGCCATATCATAGCATGCATCATATTGTTGCATATTGTCATGTGTTGATTATGTTATGTGTGTCTCTCGTGGTAGGTTCTGCCTCCGAGGATATCTCCGAGTATCCAACTGAAGGGCAGTACCCTACTACTACTCCATCAGGCAATCACCCCCATTGATCATATTGATACAATCCCATGTTCTCGCCTCTGCTCTCATTTACTGCATTAAGACAACAATGTTTCAAACTGATGTGTGTTGCGGTACTTGAACCCTTATCCTCTACATGACCTGTCATTGCCACAGTAACTAGATGAAACCCACTAGCATGTGTAGGAGTTGATTGAGGCATGTATGTGTTTCCTACCTTGCTATGCCTGCTGTGCTTAGAGTTGTGTCAGGTCTGGTTCATCTGGGTGATGGGCTAGAGTGAAATGATTATGTCGGTAATGTGATGAATGTGTTGAACATGATTTGGTAAAGGTATCGATGAGAGGCCATGTAGGAGTACATGGTGGGTTGTTTTATTGAGGTCGTCCCTAAGAACTGAGATCTGGATGTGTGATTTAAGAATCAGCTACTACCATACATTGGGCCCGAAACAAATGGACCCTCTTGGCTTCTTAATCACCCTAGTACTCTGTCCAGGAGTTGCAATTATTTTCTGGTGTTTGTAGGTTATGTGTTGGCGGTCGTACGTAGCGCTGACCCTAGGAGTGGGCTATGTTGCGGTAGATACACCGTGGCACGGTGTACCGAGTCACCCGTTTGGTGTCTCGAGAATCCTGTTCACATCGTTTGGGGCCGTATGTGGAATCCTCGGCCGGACTCCCTGCGGATGGAACCTGGATAGGCGATAAATCTGGACTAGAGACTTGAGTGTTTAGGTAGGCCGTGGCCGACACCCTCGTTGGGCTTCCGCTTGAAGGGTTCCGAGTACATGTCGTGTAAACGACGGTAAGTGGTGAGAGCGTGTATGAAGAAGTACACCCCTGCAGGGTTAACATCATCTATTCGAATAGCCGCGTCCGCGGTAAAGGACTACTTGGTTGCCTATACTGTTCATAGACAAGTTAATGGTTACTACTAAAAGACTCAAGATAAGTGTGAGTACCGAGGATGGCTCTCTCGTAGGATGACGAGGGAGGATCTCCGGTGGAGTATTGTGTTGGTGATTAGTGGACTCGTGTGCGAAAACTATTTTCCTAGTGGTGTCTCATAGGATAGCTTAGCCAAGAGTCAAAACTGGCTTGCTGCAATAACTCCACCACCTTCTTGAGAATGAGCATGTATAGTAGGTTCTGATGTAAGACTTGTTGAGTACCTTTGTAGTCATGTTTGCTTAATTACTGTTTTCAGACGACAACACCGCCCCCTCCGATGGGTTTTATGTAGATCTCGACGTCAATGAGTGACTTGCCACCCAGGTGGTGATCCTGGCCATGGAGGGCCCTATGTAGATAGACAGGCTTCGAGAAGCCTTCTTTCTTTCTAGTGTCTGTACTCAGACTATTTGCTTCCGCATGTGCTTGTATGCTTGTATGACTTGAGTGTCGGGTCATGTGACCCCTACCTGTATGAACATGTTATGTATGGCTCTCTGGAGCCTTTAAATAAAAGTACTTGAGTTGTAGAGTTTTGTTGTGATGCCATGTTGTATTTGCACATATCGAACATATTGTGTGTATGATTGAAATGCTTGGTATGTGTGGGATCCGACAATCTAGTTGTTTATCCTTGTTAGCCTCTCTTATGGGGAAATATAGTCTAGTGCTCCTCGAGCCATAGTAGTCCGCTACAACCCGGTTCACCGGAGTCCTGCTAGCCCAGCACTACTGCTCAGGACATTTGACTGGCCGGCATGTGTTTCACTTCGTTCCTATGTCTGTCCCTTCGGAGAAATGGCACACGGTGACTTCCAGAGTCCTGCCTAGCCTGCTACAGCCCGGGTTCCCCGGAGTCCTGTTAGCCCACTGCTACAGCCCGGATTCACACGCTGATGACCGACATGCTCAATGTGATTCATGTATGCCTGTCTCCATAGGTCTGTGCCGCTTTGGGTTCACGACTAGCCATGTCGGCCCGGGTTCTCTGTCATATGGATGCTGGCGACACTATCATATACGTGAGCCAAAAAACGCAAATGGTCCCGGAACATGGTAAGGCGACACCCGTGGGGATACCGTGCGTGAGGCCGCAATGTGATATGTGGTGTTACCGGCTAGATCGATGTGACTTGAAATCGGGGTCCTGACAAGTATCCAGAGTTATAAAAGATATTCGTAAGAAATCATGTATTTATCAAGAGGGTAGTATAGAAGCTTACAAGAAGATATTCAGGATCTTGAGTTGGGATTGGATTGATCCTGTAAAATTGCAAAGCGTTGGCTCATAACTAGTAGGATCGTGACCACGTGACATATGTGGTATTCAAAAAGAGTAGGATCGCGAAAATATGGATATATAATCGATTTAGATCATAACATCGTTGAATCACAATAAAATCATGATTCTCACTACCTTGCCAAAAAACAACCTCCTTATATATTTTTCCAGAATAAAGTAATTTGCACATCTTTGGAAAGATTTATATTAACTGTGCATATATTCTTTTTTAGCGGCCAGTCAATATGCCATAAATAGATCCTTGGTTTTTCCTTCAAGGCAATCAATTCACGAATAAATGCACAATTAATACTGCCATCAGTAGATGAGCTGTAGGTTTTGGGTGTAAATATACTATATAAATATTCCTCGCAAAAAATATACTATAAATATTTTTTACTATATATATGAGCTGTATGTTTTGGGTGTATATCAACATACGCATTTATAGGGTACAGATCCATGATTAAATTAATGTATTTAAACGTTAATATTATGTTAATAAATCGAAAACTTGTAGCATGCACCTATGTCCATTATAAAAAGCCATCTAAGACCCTAATCACAGAGCAGGAACCCAGGCATATCTGAAAAGATTGGCTTGACATCCCAGTAAACACGCTATCTCTCTCTCTCTCTGTCTCCACCATCAAGCCAGGATGAGGTCGTTGTACAAGATGCTACTACTTTCGCTTGCCCTTGTAGCGCTGCTATCCTCAGGTATGTACGTTTGGAGCATGTTTTGTGATCAATTTTGTATGGCGACCTTTCCACTATCGTTTTCTCATAATAAATCTCTGCAATCTTTATATGCTGGTACAAACATATAGATCTGACGATCCAGGCGACGGCTAATGGTGGCGGCTCGCTAATCCCTGAAGACTGCCGGCAGACCCTTGTCATCCGTGGGCCCTGTAACCCCAAGGCTTGTCAACGCAACTGTCAAACCAACGTCGGCCCCGGTGCCGTTGGCGACTGTGATGCCGGTGGATGCCGGTGCACATACTGTACTCCATCTCAGTGGAATTAAGCAGTGATTGTTGCTTAATTGCTCCCCGTTCCGATAATATGCAAAATCTTAGTTTTTTCTTCTGTCTGGCTACCTGTCAAATACTCCTACTTGGAAACTCAAATCAGGAATGTCAGAAATTTGATCGATTCTAGGGGCGGTTGCCTTATTAGCATGTTTGCTTGTGATTACCACATCTAAAAATAAAGGTGTGGTCCTCTAGCCTCCCCTCTCCCTTTGCTAGAGGTGTGCTGCACTAGTCTGCTTGATTTATCTTCCTTTGCTAGCGTAGTAAATTGATGGAGATCATGAAATCATGAGCGGTGTGCAAGTTATAATGCACATATATAGGCAGCGTTTGTCCTTTCAAGCAGACAATTCGTTTAGTATTCACGTTAGTAATGAAGAAATTGTAGCCATTTTCATGCACGGTGGGCAGCAAGAACTGCGTCGTCATTGATCAAACGTATGCAAGTGGGTTTTGTCCTTCCCGCTACAATGAATTCACACATCTTCAATCTTTAAAGAGCATCCCTTTCCTCGCTTGTTCTTCACTCGTCTCTCTGAACCTCACACACACACTATCCAAAACCCAAAACTCATACCGCGATGCAGTCAAATCTTTATCTGCTCTAAATGTTCAACAAAAATTGGTAGTCAATGTCGTCCACAGCGCAATAGTAGGAGGGATCAGAAAGTTATAAAGAAAAGCTGGCCCTGCTCGGAATTTCAAGAAGGCTGGGCAGGATGCTTTCCGGATTTGCGATCCATGAAACATTGTGTTTCTCATCTAGTTTTGCCACCGAGGCACGCCACTTCTTGGGAAGTACTGTGCTCGACACCAACCCAGCCGTTCTTCAGGAATCATTGGGGCTTGCTACGTCCAGTGCAGTTGCGGTTTGCGCGTAAGGGACACATTGCTGACATGATGGAGATCCGCGTTGATGGCTGTGCATCCTAAGCGCTTACTGGGCACCAGCGATGTGCAGTTACACATGGACATGGCCATAGCAAACGAACAAGGTGCGGGCACGCAGACTGAAAGAAACCCATGGGGGCGTGAGACTCTGGCAGGCACGGACCACACTGGGCCATGGGCTCGTGCATGGATTCTTGGGGTTTGGATCAGAAATATCCATCTGTACAATTTCGTTAAGTGTTAGGTCAAATATGTACATAGGAAGGATAAATGAAGGAAATAAAAATGAAAATAAAAAAATTAGGGTCAGTCATGATATATGCATTCATCTTTATTAATTACGTACACCAGAGCCTGGCAAAATAAATATAAGGATCAACCCAAGCCACCTTCTAAGCGAACAAAGTCACCACACCTATAGGTATATAGATGTGCTCTGGACGCATAACAGACACTATCTAATCCGATGGCCTAAAGCCCGGCCAGTCTAGGCGTCCCATAACATGCACAACATGTGCACGCTCTAGGATCTGCCACCGTCATCTTCCGCAATCCCGTCTTACTATGAGTGATGCAAGTTTCTTTACACATGTAGCTTAGCCGACAAGACTAGATCCCCGCGTCGCTCGTAGTGGCAGCTCGGGGGGACCCTAGCCCCGCCAGCCGTTAGCCCTCTCCTCTAGCACCTCTGGCTCGCCGCCGCCAAGGGTCTCTGTCGGGCGAAGCCCGGGTAGTGCTGGCGGCGGGGCCTTCCATGGGCGCGACTCCTATCCCTCCCTAGCGGCGGCGCGTCTCCAATCTAGTGGCGGCGAGTCTCCGATTTGGCGGCGGCGGCGCTGCTCGGTGTTGGGTGTGGCGGGGTGCTTCGCCTAGTGGTGTGCCCTGGCTTGCAGCGATAGCTTCAGATGTCGATCCCTCTGATCTGAACTGAGTTGGTTGGTGAAACTCGACCCAAAGCTATGGTCAGCCATGTGCCTCGTCGGCTGATGCGGCATGGGACTCTAGTCGGCAGGCTTCAGGCCATGAATGTTGGCACGCAGGCGGCGACAGACACGATCGGGGCAGCGTTGGGGGACTGCTGCCGTGAAAATAATGGTGGCTGACCTCATGCTCTTTTCTCATCATGGCAATGTCCTGCATGATCGGTCTTCCTCGCATCATGCCAGCAGACCCCTGTCATTCCTGGCCAGACCCCTGTCATCCCTGGGCCCTGTAACCCCAAGGCTTGTCTCCGCAATTACCAAACCAACGTCGGCACTGGTGCAGTTGGCGATTATGATGCTGGTGGATGCCAGTGCACACACTGTACTGCATCTCAGCGGAATTAAGCAGTGATTTTTGCTTAATTTTTTCCCTATCCATAATAAGTGAAAACTTAGTTTTTTTGTCTGGCTACCTGTTAAATATATGGAAACTCAAAACAGGAATGTCAGACATTTCATCGAGTTGAGGGGCCGTTGCCTTAGTAGGGCATCTTCAAGGCTGATCCCTAAACCTCCCGGAACCGTCTGAACCAAGCTGTAGGTATTGCGGAAGCCATCCAGCGTGGGTCTATATCGGTCTGCGGGGTGGTCCGGACGCGATTTCTCTCACAAAACGGAGAAAAAAGTGGGGGAGGTTTGCGGGAGTCCGGACCGATCCCAAGCCCGTTTCTGACTACCCTAGCCCACCAAAACCACTTCCACATCCGCGCACGCGCCCGCCCTGCGCCAGTTGCCCGCATTCATGCCACTGTACAGCACGCCGCTCCGCATTTAAGATGGCTCAGGGCAGAAGCGACCTCTCACCGCCTCCGCCATTGAAGCGGTGCGTCGGCCGAGGGTGCCACTCACTGCACACCCGGCTGAACACGCCCGCGTGGAAGCCGAGAAACCTACTCCAACCACACGTCTGCTCATGAGCGGGCCGACATTAAACGCAATGCCGATCGAGCTCTTCCCGTTCGCACTGTATTTATATGAGGCCAGATGTCGGGCAAGAATCTCAACCCTTCGCCGCTCCCATCTCCTCCTTCACCATTTTCTTCACTCTCCTGATGGCTTCCAAAGAACAGTTCTCCGGCATACAAGTCGGCTGGGTGGCCCGCCGACCCTGCCGGATACGAGTGAGGCAACTTGCTGCTCCACCTCCCGTGCCTGACCCTACAGAGCAAGTTGCCGCCCCAAACCGCTGTGTGGTTCAGCAACTCGCCACTCCAAGCCAACTCGATGAGGAGTGGCGAGTTGCTCTACACCGGCATGGGGATCCGCGCATCCCGTGCCTGCGACCGTGCCATGCACATAGAGAAAGAAGCCAGTAGCGCGGATGTGGACGAGGTGGCCGCATCATGTTTGTGCCCGCCGCCATCATTGAGGGGAAGTAGAACACAAGAGGTCGCCACCGCATGGGTCCCAGGAAGGCCACTGCCGGCGCATCGCCAACTTGTACAACCTGTGACCTGTCCGGTTCTTCTTTATATTAGACCATCCTGGGCACCCGCCTGGGCTTCACGGAAGCACCATTTCCCTCCGACTGCACCCTCTTCGGCATTTCCGATGAGCGGTGCATCTGGTCATAAGGAAGATACGGGGAAAGAATATGCCTCCGGGACTCATGGCAGTCCGGTGAGTGGGTTGAGGGACATATTGAAGCCAAAGGGATCCGTTGCTGTCGGTCGTAGACTAGTGTAGTGTATCTGTGTCGTGGGAGTGGAGCTCTGTGCGACCGTACGTGCACATAATTTTACTTTTTTAGTTAAAATATGTCCAAAATGTAATTGTTTTCGTCTTGTTTGTATGAAGTCCATCATGTCTGTACGAAATTTGACCGTGTTTGTATGAATTTCATCAGTTTGCTGAAAAGAGTTTGAAAAGTATGCGACTAGCATTGGATAGTGTCCTCCGCATCTGTGTCCGCAGACTATTACCTCCCTGTCCGGGGACGAATGCGGAAGAGAATTTGCGGGTTGTCATTGGAGATGCCCTTAGCATGTTTGCTTGTGATTACCATATCTGAAAATAAAGGTGTGGTCCTCTAGCCTCCTCTCTCCTTTAGCTAGAGGTGTGCTGCTCTAGTCTCCTTGATTTATCTTCCTTTGCCAGAGTATTAAATTAATTATCCTTTTGAGCAGACAATTCGTTTAACATGCACGTTAGTAATGAAGAAATTGAAGCAATTTCCATGCACCGCAGGCAGAAAGCAACACACATCAGTGACGTGTCAAACTGCCCTAAACTCGTCCAACCAGGATTGCTATTTCGGCATTTTTTTGCTCATGGTAACGTGGTGGTGTTTGAACATTTTGGTTTTGTTTTGACCAAGGCCTAACTCTACTGTAAATAACTGGCATGCTCACTTTATTTTATAGAAACTGTTGGCGGCTTAATTCACACATCTTCAATCTTCAAAAAGCACCCCCTTGGTAAACAGGCAGGATTTGAAACGCGGGATTGTTCAAATCCAAGTCTCAAGATATCAGCCCCCTGTGACCTCCTGCCCCCATGCGGC